AATTTTAAAGTATTTTTCATTAACTTGTGTTTAGACTTTATTTGCTGGTCGCACAAATGTCATTATTGTGTTCTCATACATGGTTCGTTCAAGTGTCGATGTTGAGATGGCATATTTTATTGCCATTCACACTATAAAAGCCGATGTAACATCCACTTCTATATAAAATGTGTTATTTAATTAAGGAAATATCACGTCAAGCAACTAAAAGGATTACATCTTCCTCCAAAATATTACTTTGCAGTCACATGGTCAGCTACAGCAAATTAGTTACTGTGTGCGCCGCCGTGAAATTAAGCGTGCTTTTGTCATCTGAGCAGAGATTCTTACAAATTCCTAAAGACAATATTAATAAAAGTCTTCATACAGTTCAAAAAACTAGCACTTACCTGGCTTTATGAGGACAGCCGCAATCACACCGATGGCACCACTGATAATATCCATACCAACTATGAAGCCCATAGCGGCGACTCCAACCTTCCCATTTTCTTTTGGATCCATGCCGGCCATGACTTTGCAACGTAAAATTAAGGTGATGCGAGGCTTATTTTAAATTCATCATTTTCATATAATGCAGAAATAATAAAAACAACGCCGTTGGGATAATTTAAAGGACTACTGTTTACGGTTAAAAAGTGGACTGCGGAATCATTTACCAAACTCGGTGTTTTATGCTAATAATCCATCATGAAGTGCACTTTATGAATATTTCCTAAGATTTTAGAGCAGCAACTATAGAGTGGCTATCTTGTTCTCCTCAGCCTTACAGTTTTCTTGTAGAAAAAATTATCGTATCTCCTCAGTTGCGCTCGCACCCATCCGGCGTAGACCCACTAGGGTAACTTAAATGCCCATTTGTGCACAGTTTGCGTCAGTGTTGAAGTTGGTTAAACGCGTTCTGATTCGGCGATTTAGTAGTATGATGGGAAAGATTCGCACATTGTCCTCGGACAAAAGGCTGGAAGAAGTGTGCTGGCTTCGGAATCCTAAAACGCGTCACTTTTGTATCAGCGAAACACAGCAGATCCGGTGAGAATTAAGGCACCCATAACCCCACTGTTGAATCAAACACAGTCATATAGACTACTGCCTTTTATGCTGCATCCAGCGGTTAAAACAGACATCGGAATGGTTTGGTAAGATTTCTAGTATTTTGAGCTTAGATTAATAGTGTGGGAAACGTAACGTCCTAAATACTACGCCTTCGCTGTCAAAAATATACGACTATGGATTGCAGGTACAGTCTTGGAGACCCATTAACTGAAAATTCTAGCAAGACACAAAGGGGGAAATTGAAGCATACAATACTTTTTAGGAATGATTCCACGGGGAGAGAGTCAAAAAAGCTTACCACAAATAATGTTGGCCGAAATAACCGGCAGAATAGTGAGTTGGAGAAGTCGAATGTAAATGGTGCCAGGCATTTCTGCAAAGGAAAGCAAAACTTCAGTACAAGAAAACAGGCTAAGCAATGTTAAATATAATAAATAACACTGATTAATTACCGATCAAATTCTAGTTCAAATTTACCTTAAATTTTACTTGCAGTAATGTTTCAGTTTCTCAAAACACATTCCAAGAAAGGCCATATTCTTTAAAGACACCATCAGATATCGTTAACTCCAAAATTGTTTCATCTATAACATGATAGCGGCAGCAGAAACTTCCTTAATCTATTTCGTACCTTACCATAAAAGGACATAACAAGTTCAAGCCTTGGAAGCTATCGATAATCA